CTCCAGTCTGTGAAGGCACATTGCAGGGCTGGCACTTGGACAGTGCCAGTCCTGCATTAGCTGGCAGGGGAGAATCTTAGGGAGGGGGACAATTGCTCCGTTGCCCTCCCCAGGAGCCGCCAATACTAATGCCACTGTCTGAAGTGTCCACTCTGCTCGCTCAGTCCCTCTGCAAATTGCAATCCCAGGTAGGTAAGGTGTAGCCGCACTGTCCACACCACTCACTCCCTCTGCAAACTACAATTTTAGGCAGTTAAGGTGTGGCTGCACTGTCCACACCACTCACTCCCTCTGTAAACTGCACTCTCAGGTAGGTAAGGTTTCAGACCTTACATGTCGCTGCACTGTAAACTGTCTACAGTCTCCGGTAAGTAAGGCTCCTCTCTTACTGCTTGCTCTGCCCCCTCTACTTACTCTGCTCCCCCTTACTTAAAGTAACTTTCTCTGCGCTCTGCCCCCCCTTACTTGCTCAAACCCCCTTTTCTAGCTCAGTCCCTCTTTACTTGCTCCTCCCCCTTATTTGCTCAGACCCCCTTACTTGCTCACCCCCCTTTCTTTGCTCAGCCCCCCCATATATGCTTAGCCACCCATTACTTGCTCACCCCCACCTTACTTGCACACCCTTATATGCTCAGGTTCCCTTTGCTTGCTCTGTCTTCTTCTCAGTGCTCTTGCTCTGCTCTCTGTTCTCTGCTGCTTACGCTCCAGATGACATGATGGCCAGGCTGTTTAAAATTGGTTAACATGTCAGCTATTTGAAATAATATACTTTATCTATATCCAATGCTTAGTGAATATACCCCTAGACAAGAGTTATAAAACATTGTGTAACAAGTTATAGGTGTTATATCCTGTATGTTTCTGTCCGTCTGCCTTATTTCCTGTTTTTCTCCCTTTGATCATAACTGCATAGTAATGTGTAATTTAGAACTTAGTAGTAAATATCTTTAATTCGTAGTGCGCATGCATATATTAGTTTGAAGTGGGTAGTTATAGTGAAATTTAGCTTTGAGCAAGGCCCGAATATGAAGATACACCTGTAAGCTTGCTGTAGGTTAAGATGTTAAGATAATATAGATGATTAAGATTGGATAATGCTTGTAACGACCACCCCTGTTTCCGGCTGTATAAAACCTGTTACACAGCTCATTAAAGGCTCAGAAGTCACTTTGAACCTTGTCTTGTATCATTCATTGGGGGCTCCTCACCAGCTGGATTGGGGACAAGGAGAAATACAGAGAGTTGCAAATTGATACAAAATTTCTGACAGAGAAAATTCCTCACTATCAGCCTCTAAGGTGTGGCCCCACACCGCGCGCTGCAATGTGCGCTCCCACTCCGCTCCCTCCCTAACTCTCGCTCTCTATGGTCTGAGGTCTGCACCACACAGTGGGGCCGGTGAGCAAGCAGCCGAGGCGCCTGAAACAACTAAAATCATCAGGGAAGTTCTGACAGAGAGGTGAGACTCTTACCTCGCGGCTCACTCGCTGATAATAAAAACAGTGGTGCTGGCTGGCTCAGCCTGGCCATATAACTTTGATTTAAAAGTGTGGGGTGTCAGTATATTTATATCGGCAGACATTTTGTGCTAAGACAGAAATTAATAGTATATATTGCCAGTCACACTCAAAACAGAGGTGACTCCATATTGGAATTTCCAGGCAAAGGAAGACACAAAATTTCTCTCTGTAACTTAATTCCTTTGAGTCTGAACTAAGGAATGCGTTATGTAAACAAGACAAGTGATAAGGAATGAAGCCTCACAGCAAGAATGGGGGTGGAATATATATATATACATATATATACACACATATATACATATACATACACACACATATATACATATATACATATATACACATACATACACACACACAATACACTTATTTACTATTGTATTAAACACATATAATTAGTATCATGTTAATAATATAGACTATTCATTGATAAATATCAATGAAAAATATCATATTATTTAATAAATGTTAGTGGAATAGAAATAATCTTACACACAGCTTCACCAAAGAACCAGACACAAGAAAGCCAGACACTAGTGACGGATAACACCTGGTAATTAATTTTACTTTTGGAATCTTACAACGTCCCATTGTAAGTAAAAGATTGAAATTAAGGTTAGGGGGTGTCAATTCTAGAATTATGATTCAAATTATAGACACAGTCTGGGATAAGACTGGAAAAATCAAATAAATTGCTTTGATGTGACATGTCCTGCGATTTACAGCAGGCCATATAGATAAGCCAAAATTACGTCGAAATCATCATCAAATGAAATTAACTCTTTCCAGGACCAGAAATGTTGATGATTTAATTGCGCCATCTACTGACCAAAAACTAAATACTAGATAAGGTAGACACACCTCCAGTTCCCTATTCGTCTGATCAACTAATGACGTGCAGAGAGTTTGGCCCTTTAAAAAGTAAGAACAAAGGAAAGACAGAGATTCATGGCACATATTAAGGAGACACTCTGGGACTGACACTCAAATCTGACATTCAAAGACTTATACTCTATGAACACATTCAAACTCTCTTGAAACAACTTAAGAAACAATTTCCTGGACACCTATTACTTTCTGGAGATAAATGGTTCTGGCATACTTAGTGTAATACACAGAGGAGAGGGAGTCTGACTAACACTGTGCCGCTCAAACTGGAAAAAAATAGGAATTCACTAGAACCTATATAGAAAATAACAAAGGAAACACTTCAAAATATTTTATAAAGTCCAGGAGCTGACTAGTGGTAATGGCTCAAATCTGATAACTAAAGGTGGATGTTAAGCTAAAATCACAATGGTGAAATGCAGAATGAAATAAAATATCTTATATAGGTACTGTGCCTTTAAGAAATGAGATAAAAAATCAGATATACTGATGTAAATCACTAGAAGTGGATGTTACGCTAAAATAACAATGGTGTAGAGCAGAAATAAAAAAATAATACATTGAAATGTCTTATATAGGTACTGTGCCTTTAAGAAATGTGATAAGAGTCAGAGATACACAGCAAATAGAAGATAAAAATAAAAGAGAATCTGATAAGATTAAAAGGGAGAAAAAGATGTGGATGGATACAAATATATAAAATGGATGAATAAAACAAATTGGTTTAAATTGAAAAGTGATAATAGATAATGATGGTTCTGTATGTAGCTAACATATGTGAGGTGCGAGTATCTCTATCTCTGATCCAATACAGGGTAGATGATACTTGCTCCAAATAATATACTTTGTAATAGACAAAGATAAAAATAAATAAATGAATAATGTAGCAGTAGCAGTGCAGTGTAAGAAACTGTATGCAAAGGCAATACAAACAATGTATCGCTGTAGATATAAAGCAATGGTGAAAACTGGGTATAAATATAAAAAAAAACACCTACACACACTTATTAGACAAAAATGTTAAAAATATCAAAAATACAGATCAGGGATAGTTCATAGAATTGTTACCAGTCTTTTGAAAGTCAGAAGTATGCAGAGACCTTCGGATTAGGCTAGGATGGATGTAGATTGTGCTGACAGGTTGCCTCCTGGGTTCCGACTGCCGGAGAGGGCGGCGTAAGTCTGATTGTGCGTCCCGGCAAAGACTTCACTCCGGGGGACGTACATAACAGGCGGTTTTGGTTCAGAGGTATACCAAAGGTCCTGGGTGTAATCTTCTGCTTGTAAAGGCTGACTGAATCTGTATCCTGATGGATCAGTTGTCTTACGCGTTTCTTAGGAGAACGCCCTACTTCTTCAGATTACTTTCTAACCAACACCACTTTTCTATTACATACAATCCGATATACATTAATCATACTTGCATTCAATTTCCTGGGACTATCTGCTCATCTGATAAGAACATCTACAACATAACTGGTAATTATGCTGGTTTTATTTAATTAATTTAAATTAATTGAAAATGTACTAATAGCAGAAATATATGCATGGATAAATTGGTCAGATTTCAAATTAGAAATCTTAGTTAACTAAAGAGTATATGGTTGTCAAAATTCCATTACTGCAGGTTGAATAAACAATAGCGATATATTAATGGTAATATTTACCAACAGATTAGCATGCCACATTTATCCAGATATATTGATTTGCTCTTAAATAAGATAATGCATTTTATGTAAAGAGATTAAAATTCGGCTAATGTAAAATCTGGTAGATTATTTTTATTGGATGGTTCCAGGAATGGTTAATGATCTAGTATGAACATTGCTTTAATTGAAAATAGCAATAGAATAGGATATTATATGCCTAGGATGATTGTAACCAGCAGTGGAATAGTTAATTAGGATCCATCTGATAGCCAAGATTTTTTGGCTTCTCACTGTGCTGTGAGCTTTCTGTGTCTGTGAAGTGTCCTATCATAAATCTTGCTAAGTTCTTGACAACTGGATTGCTTTTAGCCACTATATTGTGTTTAAACATTGCCATATTGTATGTCTATGTTATACCCAAATATTCACAAATTTCTATCACGCATGTTACATATTATTATTATTATTTGTATTATTATTGTCACAATAAATTATATTTTTATAATGAAATACTGATTATTGGGTGAAGTAAAAATCCTCATAATGGGGGGCAGGGCCGAACCGCAGAGCTGAGCGGCAGCAACCCTTAACAGCTCCTGTGAGCAGCATTTAAAAAGCGTGATACCCCTACCGAAACGGCACCCAAACGCCAGATAAGGGCCACCAAGCGATGGGGGATGTCGGGACACACAAAACGATGCATTCCAAGCGACAACCGACCCGACCTACGCCGTACACACCGGTGAGGTCCACTGGCATGACGGACGTGGGAGAGACGGCCGCTCTCCTGCTACCAGGACCAGAGGGAAGCCAGACTCAGAGCCCTCGTTTCCCTCCTTTTGGATCGGCGGGGGATATCCCGGTCCAACTCCACAAGCTTAACCGGTCACACAAGACCCAAGCAACAAGACCACGGAGTCTGGAGGCCGCATATGAGGGTTGCAAAATGGCGGCCGGCCCACGCTCCACTGACATGTACTTGATCAGGAAGGAAACTGAGCTCCGGTACGACCGCATATTCAAGGCACTATGGAAAAAGCTGGAAGCTCTCCTGCGGTCCCCGCAAGCGGAAGCCTCACCTGGCAGTATGCTGCGTAGGCCAAAACGATGGGGCAAAGAGATGGATGGGACACCCCTCACTCTCAAAATGGCCACTCATAAGAAAGGGCCCGGCCCAACTGCACACGAACGGAGCAAAGCTGCGACCAGACTCAGACCGCACAAAGCCCACAAAGCTAAGGGGACCCCCAAGGCTCCACACCAAAGGCAACCTCGCCAAAAAGCTGCGGTCCAACACGGACTCAAGAGGAGCAAAGCTCACCCAGACGGACCGAGGGGAGGGCAAACGGTCAAGCCTACACTAACAGAAACCGCTACACTGCCACATCGATACATTTTATATAATAAAAATTATTAAGTTAATTTTTGATCATTTTTATGAAAATATTATTTTAATATTTTCAACCCATAAATATCTCCACATGGGGCTCAAGGGAGGGCACAACCTGACCTAGGGGGGCCATGGCCCCCTCTGGCGCCCACCCCACCAGCGATGCCACTGGTTAGCTTGTTAGTCCATGGGGGTAATTCTCATTCCTGGGCTACCATACGCTCTCAAAGGCAACATAACCAATCTGGCAAATATCAATGTGAAAAAACAGAAATGCAAGCTTTATATTTGACCTGTAACTTTCAAAAACCTGCACATGGGAGTACTGTTATACTCGGGAGACTTTGCTGAACACAAATATTAGTGTTTCAAAACAGTAAAATGTATCACAGTAAACAGTAAAACGTAACAGTAAAACAATGGAGATGAGTCAAATAGGAGGAATAAAGGGGTTGTGCCAGAAATGATAAAAATAGAGATATGAAATAACATATATGTAAAAAAAAAATATATATATATATATATATACACATACAAACAAATAAAAAGCAAAAGAAAGATCAAATATAAGTCCAAGTGTGAATCCAAATGTTAAAACCTGTTGGAAGATAAAACCTCAAAGAGTTAGGGTAGTTCCTCTGGAATGGGGTCAGATCAGAGTATTCTTGGCAGCCATATATGCAACAGAAAGAGAGAACTAATGGTGCCGAAAATAAAACGTCTATGGTCCTACTTACAATTCATAGAGCTTAACCTAGCTCTAGTCTGAATGACGTACAGTGGTACAATCCCCACTTATAGGATACGTGAGACAATGTAGGAGGCCGATGTATCATCGGTATGAAGATCATAAAGAATATAAAAGAGACAGCAATAGTGCTCACAGTATAAAAGGTACCAGGAGTATAGAATAATGAAAAGGTGTTCACATTTAATTGGGCAGACTAACTGCTCAATGTTTAGGCGTAAGTGTTATAATGCCCACTGTGGATACTTTTAAAATCTATTCTGTGCTTTGTTACGACAAGCTGGGAGGAGGAAAGTGTCAAAAACAAACATTTTTGTCTCATACAGATGAACAACTTACCAGAAGCAAAGCTGACATCACGTACTGTATTTGGGTAATTAGGAAGTGCTGAAATGTACTAACATACTAGTATAGTAAATACCATAACTTTATAAACAGATTAAATTAGTCTAAACATCGTAAATTCACCACCTTATCATTTTGAAAAAGCTTTTGGCCATTTGCAGCTTCACAAAGCTCTGCTGGATAGTTTTTCAATTTACATTTTGTTTGTCTTTCATGAAAGTTTCTGGGCATTTGTCTTTATTACCAACTCCAATATGAGAAGCACATTTTTTAAAATGTAATTAGCCACCTCAGTAGGATGGCAGATTTACTTCCTCATTATATTTTGTGTTCCTTGTCAATCCCCAATAAAATATGAGTTTGTTCAAACTGCATTGCAAGCTTCATCTCAAAACCCTTTGCGAAAAATGTTTTAAATTTTTTCTAAAACTTAAAAAATAACCAGATTTGGGGTAACAGATGTCACAAATTATACATGATATTAGATGCTCGTTATTTGCTAAATATTATCTTGGGGAGAGAATATTAATGAATCAAAACTGCTTGATTGCTGCCTTCAGTACGGTAATGAAAATGTATTTTCTGTATATGCATATAAACTAGGAAATAATATCCATTGCAATAAACATTGCACTTGATGTAATTGTTTAATAAGAACACCAGTTATGGACTATTACAGCCTTTAAAGTGTTGTTTCAATAATTAAGTGTGTAATTGTCTGCACTGTAAAATTATAATATTGAATCTGAAATACGAGGTTGTGAAACAATAGACTAAAGAGTTCTGGTAACCATATTGTGTCCCTCCGAGGGTTATATCAGATCCCAGAAGGCAGAAGACTTTGTCTTTTTTACTCCACTGTTCTCAATCTCGTTTTCTTTCACTTATGCTCTTTTTTCCCCATTGCCTACAGCTGATTCTATATCTCTTACTCAGGGTCATTTCTGGGTCCCAGAAACTCTTCACCTTTGTGAACAAAAGAAAGTTCAATGACCAGAAACAAGCCTAAAGTATGTCTTGACAAATTCCCATATTTCTATGTTATATCCCCTATTCTCTACACCTGAAGACTATGTCACTGATTGTCTCTATAAACACATAGCCAGAAACAAGCATAAGCTGTACAGCCAGGTTTTCAATGTGATTCCTCCAAGCTACACAATAGAAAAATATGCAAAGTTCTATTCCCCAGCACGCTTTCCCGACAGTCACTTGGGAGGCAATATATATAGATATAGATATAGATATACATAAACACGAAGTAGCTTGCACTCACGGACTTGAAATGTAGAAAAAATCGCTTTATTCAAAGCATATTAAATGTACATCACACCGACGTTTCAGCCCTCGTCCGGGGCTTTCCTCAAGGTGAATTGACAACAAACCAAACCATACAACAACAATGTGCAAATATATACCCATAAGAAGAAATATTAACTCACCACAAGTGATATCATGCAGTGTACCGGCGTCTCTATTAACCAAGTGCGCATGCGCAATAAATAGAAGAGGATCCAAGGGGTGGAATAAAAAGATAAATTTATTGAAAGAAATTATTAGCATAAAAAAACAGGAAAGGATAAAAGAATAAGTGAGCCAATACGCGTTTCGCCTGTTGTGGTTTCCTCAAGAAAGCTGACTGAGGAAGCCACAACAGGCGAAACGCGTATTGGCTCACTTATTCTTTTATCCTTTTCTGGTTTTTTATGCTAATTATTTTTTTCAATAAATTTATCTTTTTATTGCACCCTTTGGATTCTCTTCTATTTATTGGAAACTGCACCATCAGCCACAGAAGGGTTAAGGATCACCCTGAAATAGATCCTGAAGCCATCTATACCAGAGCCAGGTTTTCAATTGGCTCTGATCTTGTGAGTGTTTCCTTGCACATATTGTTGTTATATTTATTGTAAATTGTCTGCACTATTGTATGTATCTCTCTGTCTCTGCAGTATTATATTGAGAAGAAGGGAGATTTGAATTGCTCCATCCATTGTGTTTACATTAAAAGTATTTTTATATTAAATAAATATTTACATAAAAATATATATAATTGTATATATGTATATATATTTAAATTCTACATGTATATTTATGTAATATTTTAACATAAGTAGGTCATTTTATTAATTACAATTTGACGGACCAGCCTGACAACCAAGGCAGCAAGTCCAGAGAATTTAATTTGAAAGTTCTATGTTTATTCCTGTACCTTTCCAAAACACCATAAAACCTGGACATGGGGGTGACTATTGTACTTGGGAGACTTTGCTGAACACAAATATGAGTGTTATTAAACTGTAAAAATTATCATGACAATGATATCACTAGTAAAATTGCAGTTTTTGTGTACAAAATGCAAAAAACAAATATGAACCCTAAATTTGGCTAGTGTTCGTGACTAAGTGGCTACTAAAAAACACTGGACATACCCCATTTTGAATACCTTGGATTGTCTACTTTTTCAAATGGTATGCCACAGTGGGGTTAATTTTCATCTAGGCTGCCATACTGTCTCAAAGGCAACATAGCCAATCTGGCAATATATATATATATATATATATATATATATATATATAAAACAGGGGGAACGACTCACCTGAACATGCATAAATAGGGTGCTGCTGGGGGACTCTAACAGCCTAATGTCTGCTCTTATGAGATTAACCCTTACTTGGGGGAAAAAAATCCATCTGGGGCTCTCTGCAGTACAATTCTAAATAGGGCCCTGGGATGAGGCACCTGTGACAAGGAGGGGTTCAAAACCAAGGAGTTGGCTAGATTCCCAAAAATATATATTTGTATATATATATATATATATATATATATATATATAAAACTGGGGGAGGCTGCACTCACCTGAACATGCATAAATGGGGTGCTGCTGGGGGCCAAATAATACAATACACAAGATCTAAAACTAATAAAATCTGTCAACATTGAAGTTGCTGTTTAGTGGATAGGTGAGTGCGCTGGATAGGTGAGTGCGCTTATATATATATAAACTTACATTTATATATAAATAGACAAATGCAAATATAAAAAAATAACAATGAAATAAAAAGTGACTTATCTAAAATACTATTCAGGGGAATATTTTTTAATATCATCGTGACAGTGATCTTCAACAGACGTAGTATGGGAAATCGCATAAGGAATTATCAAGCAGATGTTTTGCAGGTTACACTTCATGATACATTACCAGCTGGTACTTGTGCCTAATTGAAGTATTAGAGTGCAGAATATATGTTGACTCTTTGATACATGATGAAGTTCTTACTAAGTGCTTTTTAATAGATGAAATGTGATTACATTTAAACTTCAATAAACTCTTTATACAGGTAATTAAAAAAAACCCCTCTTCATTGAACCTTGGTTTTCAGTTGTGACTTAATAGGCTGACAACCCGATTCCTTTATCACAAAGACTGACAAGACTAGAAACAGATGACATCACTGACAGATGAGGATGCACTAGAGTTTTCAATAAAACAATAACCATAGACATTACAGATGTGGGTGGGCTTTTTGTTCTGTTTGTAGTTTATTGTGAGATGCTTTTCTGCTTAGCAATGTTGTAACACAAGGTGATTTCAGTACCATTGCCTTGGAGTAGAGCTCTGTCCATTTTACACTGATCTTTAATTAACAAGTCATTTTGCCCATGGAACTGACACTCCCTAGATACTTTTCGCATATATCTTTCTAAGCTCTAGAGACTATGAAGTATTAAAACCCCAAGGGATCGGTGGGTATAAATATACATACAAGATCCAGCAAGATTGCACTTACTCATTTACTAAACATCAATTTTAAAGCTCACAGAATGGTTCTTCATTTTTGGCACATGCTATCCTAGGAACCTAGCTGAGATACTCAAGC